GCAATTCTGTTGCTAATAGTTGGAGGAAGTCTTGTTTTACTTTGTGCCCTTCGAAAGAGGAAAAGAGCTGATAAAGGTATATAGACATTGGATTTTGATCAAATAGCTGTTATCAGGTTTTCCCCAAGTGTAGGAAAATATAACTCTTGTTTCTTTAGGTGATTCCACGGGGACTAAGACAAAAGGTTTGGTAGCTTATTCAGCTGTGCGGGGCGGACACTTATTAGATGAAGGTGTAGCATATTTCATATCGCTTCCTGTGCTTGAAGAGGCCACCGATAATTTTTCCAAGAGAGTTGGAAAAGGAAGTTTTGGGTCTGTCTACTATGGTAAGATGAAAGATGGGAAAGAAGTTGCAGTTAAGATAATGGCAGATCCTTCTAGCTACTTGAACAGACAATTTGTGACTGAGGTATTGAGCAGACTTCAAATGCTGATTTTGGCTTTTTTGTGCCCCAAAATTTCTTCATTAGACGATTTAATTGGGACAAACGTGCAGGTTGCTCTATTATCAAGAATTCACCACAGGAACTTGGTCCCTTTGATTGGATATTGCGAAGAAGCAGATCGGCGTTTATTGGTTTACGAATATATGCACAATGGAACCTTGGGAGATCACTTACACGGTTTGTACAAATTTCCCAGATACTTCTCATGCCTAAGTTTAGCTTTTCATTCTGCGAATGATTCATGAATTCAATTCCTGACAGGTTCAAGCGACTACAAGCCATTAGACTGGACAACTCGGCTACAAATTGCACAAGACGCTGCCAAAGGTTTGTAGTAAAAATTCAAGATTATATCTTTAGTGTGGCTATATATAATATGAATCCATTGGACAGACAAAAACTTCAGATTATTACAGGTCTTGAATACTTGCATACTGGCTGCAATCCTAGTATCATTCATAGGGATGTGAAATCAAGCAATATACTCCTGGACATTAACATGAGAGCCAAAGTTTCTGACTTTGGACTCTCCAGGCAGACAGAGGAAGACTTGACTCACGTATCCAGTGTCGCAAAAGGGACTGTTGGATACCTTGATCCAGAGTAAGGCCAACAATAACAAAATATAGTCTTCCATTTTTATGAACTGAGACTGATACGGCATTGTTTTGACAGGTATTATGCTTGTCAGCAGCTGACTGAGAAGAGCGATGTCTACAGTTTTGGCGTTGTTCTTTTTGAATTACTCTCTGGAAAGAAACCAGTCTCAGTGGAAGATTTCGGTCCTGAACTGAACATAGTTCACTGGGTAAGCAGCTCTACATCTTCTTTTCTATTCGAAAGTTTTCACCTTTCACAGTTTTAAAATTACTACATCGACAACGTCAAGATGCAAACAAACCACAAATCCCTTCCTTTTACATCTTTCTTGTTCATCAACAGGCAAGATCACTGATCCGTAAAGGAGACGTATGTGGGATCATAGATCCATGTGTATTAGGCAACGTGAAGATCGAGTCAATCTGGAGAGTAGCAGAGGTCGCAAACCAATGCGTTGCGCAGCACGGGCATTGCAGGCCAAGTATGCAGGAAGTGATAGTGGCGATACAAGACGCGGACAGGATCGAGAGAGGAAACGAGAACGGGCTTAAGTCATCGACTTCGAGCAGCTCAAAGGCGCAATCATCTCGTAAGACCTTGCTCACTAGCTTCCTGGAGATAGAGAGCCCTGACATCTCAAGAAACAGCTTAACTCCATCTGCTAGGTGAACCAGTCCTCTTGAGGCTAAAGCTCTCATGTTTAGACTTACCATTATAATTTATATGAATGTGTGTATGTATGTAATGTATGTACTACGTAGTGTGTATTAAAATGTATCACACACTTCTAACGTCAATTCTATAGATGATGTACCTGACCCAATTAAAAAGAATATTTCTTCTTTCTTTCTTTTTTGGCATTTTGCTATCACTGGATAAGAAATCACATACGTAGACGAACCAGAAGCAAGAAACTTGAGGATAATGGCTCCAAAAATTCAGACTTTTGAGAAAAAAAACTCAGAATTTATATTTAGGACACTTGCAATCTTTCTTCTTCTTCACCGTTTCTCATTTGTAGCCTATCTTTCTCTCAAAACTCAATTCGAATTTTGCTTCATCCCAGTCTCGACGAAGAAGAAGAAGAAGCAGAGCTGTAATGGCGGCCACAGCTCCAAACTCGTTACGTTCTTCAAATTTCTTCGGATCCAACATCATAATCTCATCTCCCACACCTAAAACCACAACAAAGCCATCGTTTCCCTTCTCCTTAATCTCTCGTGGAAGTCGATACCAAATTACTCGATCGGCTCTGCGAATCGAAGAAGACAATGGAAAACCCATAAAGTCATTGCCGTCGCGAGTAGCCTTAGCAGCGATTCTCTTCTCATCGATTTCTTCCTCGCCGCGAGGAGCTCTAGCTTTGGACGAACCAATTGCGGCGACCCAAACCGTCGTTGTAGAAGCTCAAGCAGTGAAGCCGTCGACGTCGCCGTCGCCGTTCAGTGAGACCCAGACGATTACGGCGCCTAATCCGAAAGCCCAATCATCATCATCGGATCTTCCGGAGGGAACTCAATGGCGGTACAGCGAGTTTCTAAACGCGGTGAAGAAAGGTAAAGTAGAGAGAGTCCGGTTTAGTAAAGACGGTTCCGTTCTTCAGCTTACCGCCGTCGATAACCGCCGTGCCTCCGTCGTCGTCCCGAACGATCCGGATCTTATCGACATCTTAGCCATGAACGGAGTCGATATATCTGTCTCTGAGGGAGAATCATCCGGTAACGACTTGTTCACTATCATCGGAAACTTGATTTTCCCGATCTTGGCGTTTGGTGGTCTCTTCTTGTTGTTCAGGCGAGCTGGAGGCGGTCCCGGTGGTCCTGGAGGTTTAGGTGGTCCAATGGATTTCGGACGCTCGAAATCGAAGTTTCAGGAAGTGCCCGAGACTGGTGTTTCGTTCGCAGATGTTGCTGGTGCTGATCAAGCAAAGTTGGAGTTGCAAGAAGTTGTGGACTTTTTGAAGAATCCAGATAAGTACACAGCATTGGGTGCTAAGATTCCTAAAGGGTGTTTGCTTGTTGGACCGCCTGGTACTGGTAAGACACTCTTGGCCAGAGCGGTGGCTGGAGAAGCAGGTGTGCCGTTCTTTTCCTGCGCGGCTTCGGAGTTTGTGGAGCTTTTTGTGGGTGTTGGTGCGTCTAGAGTTAGGGATTTGTTCGAGAAGGCTAAGTCTAAAGCGCCTTGCATTGTGTTCATTGATGAGATTGACGCTGTTGGAAGGCAGAGAGGAGCTGGTATGGGAGGAGGAAATGATGAGAGGGAACAGACGATTAACCAGTTGTTGACTGAGATGGATGGGTTTTCTGGCAACTCTGGTGTGATTGTTTTGGCAGCTACGAATAGACCGGATGTTCTTGATTCCGCGTTGTTGAGGCCTGGAAGATTTGATCGGCAGGTCACGGTGGATAGGCCTGATGTGGCTGGGAGAGTCAAGATTCTTCAGGTTTCATAGCTGTTTTTATAAAAGGATTTGTGGTTGTCTCTGGAGTAGTGTGAATGACTCTTTGAAGGTTTCGTTTTTATTGTAGGTTCATTCTAGAGGCAAGGCACTTGGTAAAGATGTGGACTTTGATAAGGTTGCAAGGAGGACTCCTGGTTTCACTGGTGCTGATTTACAGAACCTGATGAATGAAGCGGCGATTCTTGCGGCAAGGCGTGAGCTTAAGGAGATAAGCAAGGACGAGATCTCTGATGCTCTTGAGAGGATCATTGCTGGACCTGAGAAGAAGAATGCTGTTGTCTCTGATGAGAAGAAGAGACTTGTTGCATACCATGGTTAGCATTATTTTCCTGATTCTATGTTGTTGATGAGACCATATGGGATTTTTTTTTTTTTTTCTGACAACCTCAAGTGAATTTTGAATTTGCAGAGGCTGGTCATGCTCTAGTCGGTGCTCTTATGCCGGAATACGATCCGGTTGCCAAGATTTCCATCATTCCTCGTGGCCAAGCTGGTGGGCTTACCTTTTTCGCACCGAGCGAAGAAAGACTCGAGTCTGGATTGTACAGTAGAAGCTACCTTGAGAATCAAATGGCTGTTGCACTTGGTGGAAGGTTAGTTAGTAGTAATGGCCTCAACACAAGAGCCAGGTTTTTGAATTTTCCAAAGGGTTTGATTGTGTTAAAACTTAAAACCATCTCTCTCTCTTGTGTTGGCTATGTCAGGGTTGCTGAGGAGGTAATCTTTGGGACTGAGAATGTGACGACTGGAGCATCAAACGATTTCATGCAAGTGTCTCGTGTGGCACGTCAAATGATTGAGAGATTTGGGTTCAGCAAGAAGATTGGACAAGTTGCCGTTGGTGGCCCCGGTGGAAATCCCTTTATGGGTCAACAAGTATATATTGCTACATGAACTTGGTTTCTTGGTTTCGTCGTTAGCTTTGTTGGTTTGGAGATGTTCATATCTATGAAATGTTTTTTGTGCAGATGTCTTCACAGAAAGATTACTCAATGGCAACTGCGGATATTGTAGATGCTGAGGTGCGAGAGCTGGTGGAGAAGGCATACAAGAGAGCAACGGAGATCATAACAACTCATATTGATATCTTGCACAAGCTTGCGCAACTCCTGATCGAGAAAGAAACTGTTGACGGAGAAGAGTTCATGAGTCTCTTTATTGACGGCCAAGCTGAGCTGTATGTTTCTTGATTCATCAAAATCTATAAGTTAACATTGCGCTCACAATACCATTAGCCCATGTATACTAGACCAATACCTGCTCGTATATATACTTCTTTTGGTAAACAATCCAAAGTTAACATTGCTCACAATATCAAAAATCACTCTACATCCCCTCTGAATGATCTTAATTGATAATCACTTATGGACTTTTAGATATATGATTTGTGTTCATGTACATCTTCGATCTATTCTTCAGTATACACAGAAGTTTCTTTCTTTCTTTTTTCTCTTTACAGTCCAAATACTTTCTAGTGTAATGCAATGTGTTCAGTTTACAAGCCGCTTGTCTTCCAAGATGGAGGCTTCTTTAAGCATGTTAGCCGAGTCTTGGAGCATATTCAGCTTTGCAAGAGCCACGGCCTGAAGGTAAAACGCAGTTGGCCATTCGGGATAGACGCACTGTGCTTGCATCGCATCTCGTAGTGCTGCGTCTGGCTGGTCGCAGAAGAGATGGCACATGCTTCTTCGTGCATAAACAGTTGGAGAGATCATGATCCCTGTTTCTATGAACTGCAAAAAACATGACTATATTACTACGAGAAAGTTAATAGAAGGAATTTTCAGGTGAGTATGGTTTGTTTTCAGTCATGCCTGAGTATATTTTTCGATGGCAGATTTGAAATCTGTGTTCCGGAAAGCTGAATCGCCTTGCTGTCTAGTGTTCCACACATCTTTTATCTGTTGAGCCCATTGCTGGAAAGAGAGCTCACAAGTAACCTCGTCGTCTTTGTAATCTGTTGCTTCAAGAATCTGATGTAGAGCTTCGAGGTCCATACGGTGACAAGCATCGTAAATTAGAGAATTCTGCGATTCTGTTTCAGGGTTTTCGAGTTTCGAGATTCCAAGCATTTCATAAGACGGAACATCTGGTTTGTGTTGAAGTGTAGCAAGAACTGAGATGATATCTTTGATTTCCGGCCGGTCCTTTGGGTTATTGTGGAGGCATTTGGTTGCCAAATCAAACACAGTGGCTGCTTCTTCCTCTGGATAGTTTCCTTCTAAGTGTGAATCTATCAACACAAGTAAGTTTTCCTTTTGAATTGTATCAACCGCCTGAAAAGAGATAAGACATGGCGCCATGTTTAACAAATAGAACCAAACCATTGTAGAAGAATGCAATAATAGTCACTCACATGGCTTGGAGGGACATGTTTGCCACTAAGAAGATCCAAAAGAAACGTCCCAAAGCTGAAGACAACACTCTCTGGAATTAACGTACCTACCAGTATATATATACATCATTTGCCACACAACAAAACTTCTTGCAATCTCTGAAAACGTTTTTAAGAAGAAAGTAAAGAGTAGTGGTAAGACAAAACGTTACCACTTCTAAGATACTCGGGCGGTGTATAAGCGAGATTTGTGCTGAAGTTTTTGCCATCTTTGCTATGTTTCATCCACCCAAAGCATGAGAGACGAGGACTACCATTCTGCCTGACAAAAACTCTTAGCCGTTTCTCACAGCAACAAAATAAAAAAAAGACCATTAAATATGTGCAAATTAAAATAGGGTTTACCTCATCAAAGAGAACCCGATAAGCATTAAGATCATGGTACAATTTGCGTCCACTCTGCCTACAATATTCTAAAGCTTCGGCTACATAAAGTGCAGCTCTCAATCGCATAGCCCACTCCATGGTTTGTTTCTCCCCTGTGACTCGAGCAAGAAAAGGCAAAAACTTGTCAAACAAGTAAAGAAACCTAAACACACATATTTACTCAGAAGAGTGAAGGAAGAAGGAAGATATATAAGTTTTGGAATAATCTTACAGTGAAATAGATGCTTAGGGAGGGTGTCATTGGGCATGTACTCTGAGACAAGCAACCTTTCATCTCCATCACAGCAATAACCTATCAAATTCACCAGTCTCATATGCCTCATTTTCCCGATAGCCCTAGCTTCTTCCTGCATGAGAGAATAATTGGTATTACCATTAAACATTTTACTTTTGATAACAAGGTATAATCTTAATCTGAAACCCAGACTAAGGAACTCGATACATCACATTGACCCACAAGATTAGTCCTCTACCAAATGGAACAAACCACTAGACCACACGCTCTTGCTTTATGTTGTTTCTAGGTGGCTTAAATCTGTAATGAACTGCTAACAGACTTTCTTGAGTGAGCAGAGGAATGTTTATTGTTGCTAATCGTATTAGAATGGGTTTTAGGGCATTCTAAACTTATAAATATCGGTTTCATTTACACAATAATAAAGAAACCTAGCCCAATATGTTTAGTTTTGATTCTCACGAATGCTCAACAGTTTATCATCAACAAGAAAATGAAACAATTTAGAATAAGTTGAGGGTTTTTTTCAAAAAACATACAGCGAATTGTTTGGGATCAGGCCATGTTGATTTCGAGAATTTTTTGACGGCGATTCGACGCATGTCGCCTTTAAGACAACCTCGGTAAACAACATTCGTTTCTTGGTCGGAACAAGATGATACGACAGCGTTTACGCTGAAGTTGTTCGTTGCGTCACGAAGATCCGCTGCGGAGAACTCGGAGAAGTCCGGAACGTTGGAGAAATGCCATCCCCTTCCTCCGCCGCAGCCGCCGTCGCCGTCGTCTTTGTTGTTGTTACGGTGGTGAGGGTTACTGCGTTTGCCGCCACGACGGACGGAGATATCGTCGGAGTATGTTTTTTTGGCATGCAATGACGACGGTTTCAAGAACGACGATTTGCAGCATCCCATGACCCGAGGCGAGTCGACTCGTTGTAAAAACTCGTTCCTCAGACCATTAATTGTACGTTTGTACTTTCTTCTTTAATTGTTTCTCCGATCACTTTGGCATATTTGTTTTTCCTCTGCTTTCCTTTGCTTTTGCAACCTCCGTAATTTCTAGGGTCTTTGCAAAGGATCGTTGGTTTCAAGTTTCAACAATATAAGGGTTGTTTTGTCTTTTTCATCTAACTGAAAAGTCTAATTTCCCATTCTCTCGCGCGATATTTTAGGTTTTAGTTTGTTTTTATAACCATTTTGGACCCAATCAAGATGATGACATACCGAATTAATTTTTTCTCCCAGGCACATTTACCGAGAATTACTGTTTTTTGACCCTAGATCTACTTTTACCATTCTCACCCACCTTTCTTTCCTTCTTTTAGTAACTTTTTCAAATTTCTTATCCTCTTTGGCTGGACTTCGCCGGGTTCACCCCGACACCCTGTCGGAGGGTCCGTTTTCTGCCACTGGTAAGCCACCCTCTCTCCCTGCCTGAAGCTTGAAGGTGTATCCTCAGCTTTGTACCACCCCAATCTAGTGAGGACAAGCTGAAAAAGAGTGGGTTCATCCATTTTCATTCGATTCGGCATGGCTCACAAGATTTCTCAACCTGAAAAAGGGAAAGCAATAGAGAACATGAGTAATGATCCGAGATCTGTAAGAGTTAAGGTCAAAGACTCTGACAACTCCTCTCTACTCTTGATGCACTCGCTCACTATTGTTGGAAGGGTCACAAACCCTAAATATCAAAAAGTTTGGTCTATCATCCCTTTCTTCACCAATCGATGGAAGACAGCAGTCCGACCAATAGGTGCAGACCTCGGTGAAGGCCACTTCCGATTCCAATTTGCTAGCGAGGAGGATCTCCAGCTGATTCTCGCTAACCGACCTTACCACTATGCAAAGTGGATGCTCATCATTCAGAGATGGGAACCCTCTATTTCTAGATATTTCCCCTCCCTCATTCCTTTTTGGATCCAAGTCCAGCGATTCCCAGTGCATCTCTGGACAAAAGAAACTCTTCAAAGCCTCGGTGACACTATTGGCCAATGTGAAGAGGTGGATGTGACCCCCCTCACAGCTCGAATCAGGGTCCATGTTGACGAACTAAAACCTCTCATCACAACCTCAATAGTGGAGTACCCGAATGGTGATGAAGTCCATGCCTCCCTGGTCTATGAGAGACTCGAACGCCACTGCTCAAGATGTATGAGGCTCACTCATGAAGATAACCTCTGCTTTGAGTTCCCTTCTGCTCATGGCCAGAAGAAGTCCCTCGAGACCTCATCCCGAGTGAAGGAGCATGGAACTTCCACCGGAGGAGCCCCACCCCATGACTCCATGAAGACGAAATTTAGTGAATCTTCTCAGCGAGTCCAGGTCCCCCCTAGAGGTGACTGAATCCCTCCCCCTCCTCCCCCGAGGAGCGATATCCGTTCTGGAATGGTTCCTGATCCTCAGGGGAACCGTCTGAAGTCAGCTCACCTCCCCTTGGAAGAAAGCCAAGACACCCGCAGATCGTCCACTTTCCCAAAGAACCGAGCCTCACCTTCTGAGTTTGGCTCGGTTGGACAATCAAAGCACATTAGACCCGGCAAAGCGGAGCGTGCCCGCCTCAGGGAAGCAGCCTTATTAGCAACCCCTCCAAGAGATCCCATTAAAGCTGGAGATTTCTCTACCTCCCAAACCTCAGGCAACATCAATCCTCCAACTCCCCCGCCACCAAAGCCTCAGGAAGCGCTCGCGCAAGCCTTGGCTGAGGTAAGAGATGTTATGCTTCGCTACTCAAACTGCTCGGATCCGACTGAGAGTGCGGCTCGGAAAGAACGTTTTAGATTGGCGGAGGAATCTGGCCAACTCCTCGAAACCGCAATCCAAATGGTCCAATCAACGAGAGGGCATCTTAACCTTCCGGAAGAGAACTCTCCTGACATTTCTCCTGCTCCTGAGCACGACCGTATTCCGGCTAGGATGAGACTTGGGCCCTTCAATCCGGAGATGGTTCTATCTCCCGGTGGGGTCTCAAACCTCCCCCCTCTAGTTCCCCCTAAGCGCAAACCTGGAAGACCTCCAGGGCAAAAGAATAAGCAACCTATCATCGGATCTATCGCAAGCACAAATCCGAGGAAAAGGAAAGTGCGCCAAGTGAAAAATTCACCTCGGAGGAAGCTCCTTATGGGGTCATCTTCAAGAGGAACCGGCAAGAACTCTGAAGACAGAAGTGGCGACCCCTCTGCGTTCAAGCCGAGGGAGAATCAATCGATGGCCGACCCGCCTCAACCTAGCACCACCCTTATCCCAAAATCGAGGAGAAGTAAGCAGGATTTTCCTTCTCCATCCGATCGGCTTCCTTAAAGGTGGTCAGCTGGAACTGTCAAGGGTTGGGGAACCCCCTGACAGTCCAGCGAATCCGGGAGTTTCGTCGGAGGCTATTCCCGGAACTCATTTTTCTATCCGAAACAAAAAATTCTGATGAAGTCGTGCATAAGAAGCTCCAGTGTCTGAGCACGTTTCAACACCATCTTGTTCCCCCACATGGCATCCGAGGTGGAGGACTAGCTCTTTTTTGGCGTCAGGAGCTAGATTTCGAAATCCTTGAGTCCTGTGACAATTTTATTGATACAAAGTTGTGATATGAAGGCAAACTTACCTTCCTCACATTCGTCTATGGAAATCCGGAGAGATCAAAGAGGAAGGAAACATGGGATCACCTCATCTCCCTGGCTCAAGCGAGAGATGGACCTTGGTTCTTAACTGGAGATTTTAACGACATTACGGACAGTTCGGAGAAACTGGGAGGCTGATGAGTGGAGATTTTGACTCATTCTAACTTGTGTTTACTGATTGTTTTAGGAGTTTTTGGAGTCTTTTCAGGAAGTTTCAGGTGACTTGGAGGCCTTATCAAAGGATTGGAGTGTTTAGGAGGCATTGGAGCAAAAAGAGATGAATTTGAGCAATAAAGAGCTATTTCACACGTTTTTGGAGAAATCATCCCCGGAGCACCTGCTCCCGGTTTGGACCCTTCGTAGAGCACCTGCTCCAGACGGGAAAAAAATAAGGAAATCGACTTTTACCTAATTTTGGGAGGAGAAAGAGAATAAAAAGCCCACAGCCGCCTGTGTTTTATTATCACGTTTTTCTACAGACTTTCTACGCTTTCTTTTTACAATTTCCTGAACCATAGAGTTTTTACTTGTAAGCCTTTGGGGAGAAGAAATCTGCTACACTTTGAGAAGAATTCTGAACCCTATTATCTCTTCTGCGATTTTAATTCATGAATTCCTTTCCATCTGTTTCTGTGTTTCTTTTCTCCATGTCTGAGTAGATCTCTTAGCTAGATTAAAGCGTTCAAAGGTTTCCATGAGTTAGAGGATTAGATGCAAATAGGGCTTGATATCTATTGTCTTCACCATTGTTAGACTTAATGCTTAGGTTGAATTGATCACTCAATCTGCGATTTTAGGTTAATCTGTTCATCAAAAGTGTAATAGGTTGCTAGAATAAACATTGGTGAGCGATTTGTCCTTAGCCAACGACAGTTGAAGTTAAGGCAAATCGTGAACAGATCAAACCTGCTAGCTAATGCTTGTCTGCAATTTTCTAGGTTCAAACGACAGTTTAGGATTTAGGTTGTTAGACAAAGTTATCGAGATCACGACAGTGGATCGATAAGCTTTTCTGTTTGAGTTCGAGACTTGCGTTACACTTGTGCCCTGAATAGTCATCTGGTTCTTATCTCTGAAATTCCTGCGAATTGCTTTGGTCTAGTGCTTGTTTTAATTTGAATTTAAATCGTTGTTTGCCATTCTGTTACTTTTTAGTTTTCAAAACAAACCATCTTTCGTCTTAGCTTTAATTCAATCCTCACAAATTCATAGAGTAACACTGGTCCTCTGGATTTCGAATCCTTTATATTACAACTACATCACTGTTCTATTGCAGTAGAAACTAGGAGTACATCTAGTGAGAATCAAATTTTGGCGCCGTTGCGACGGGGACCAATTCGTTACCTTTGATTTTTGGTTTGAAATTCAGACTAAGGCTTTACTAATTTTTCTCTCTTGTTCTCTTGTTTGCGTGTGTTTCAGGTGTATGTCAAACATATCCACAAGGAGCAACTGCACCGATCTTGTTTCTTTGTCGAACACCGATCTAGCAAGAGTCGAGCGAGAAAACAGACGTCAAAGGCCTATTCAAGCTAACATGGGCGATCAAGGCAACAATGGCAACATGGCTGTCGAGGTTCAACAGCTTCGACAGCAATTGGAGCAGCTGCAAAAGGCGCAGCAAGACAGGGAGCAGCCACAACCTGCTATTGGAGAGAAGGACAGTCCGCATGCTTACTATCACAACAGGGCTGCGATTGCTCCTCCAACCATTCAGAGGCAAGACTTTGAGATCAAACCTCAGCTGATCTCATTAATGAAGCAGCACCTCTTTCATGGGCTTCCTGCTGAGATTCCGATGGACCACATCGAGAATTTTGAGGAGATTTGCAGCACGACTGGATCAAATGGGATACCAGCCGATTTCTTGAAGTGCAAGCTTTTTCCATTCTCACTTGCGGACAAAGCTTTGCGCTGGCTGAAGTCATTACCACCTGGGTCATTGACTACATGGGAAGAGTGCAGATCAGCGTTTTTGGACCATTTCTACACTAAGGCAAAAACTGCAGCTCTGAAGAACAAGATCTCGTCGTTTAAACAGCAACCTGGTGAAGCTTTCTGCGAAGCTTGGGAGAGGTACAAGGAGTACCGAAGAGAGTGCCCTCACCATGGGTTCTCTGATGAGCAGATCCTGTCAACCTTTTATGATGGTATCAACTGGGATTACAGGAATGCTTTGAATGCAGCTAGCAATGGCGATTTCATGACTAAGTCCAAAGAAGTTGTTTATGAGTTGATTGAGAACTTAGCTGCAAGCTCCAGCAACAAATCCCAAGAGTATGACAGGTCTAGCAAATCAGTTCATAGTGTGGAGTTGAGCAAAATCGATGAGCTTACAGCAAAGGTGAATCTGCTGTTGAGAGAGAACCAGAGATCTGTGCATTTTGCTGATGAGGTTGGTGATGCACCGCTTGCTCAAGAGTTTGTAGATGCAGAGAATAATGATCAGATGGAGGTAAATTTCGTGAATGGACAAGGGTATGTGCAGAATCGCAGTTTCAAAAACTTCAGAAGCCACCCGAATTTATCCTACAGAAGCAACAATGTTGAGAACCCTCAGGATCAGGTCTATCCGCAGCAAGGAGTGCAGAATCAGTCAGGATTTCAGAAGAACTTCTCCAGCAACTTCCAAGGAAAGCAGTTCATCACCAATCAGAATCGATTTCAAGGTGGAAATCAGCAGAAGTTGCCTTTCATAAGTCTACAGCCTTCTTCGAGTTCCTCAAATAACTCGCAGGATGAGCTGAAAAACTTGATGCAACAGCTGCTGGTTAATCAGCAAAAGTCTTCCATGGAGATTAATGCCAAAGTGGACACCATGTACAATGATTTGAATGGCAAGTATGAGGTTGTGTGGACTCATGTGAAGAAGCTGGATGTTCAGGTAGCTCAGACTGCAGAAGCTGTGAAGAGATCACCTGGAACTCTCCCTGGAAAAGGTGAAAACCCCAGGAATGAGTTTGTGAATGCTATTGAGCTTAAAAGTGGGAAGATTCTACATGCTGCACCAACAAGCTCTGTCTCAGAAAAGAGGAAGAAAAAGGACGTGGAGCACCTGCTCCAAAAAGAAGAACCAGCTCATGACGTAAAAAAGACGAATGAGCACTCTTCCTCCATCGGAGCACCTGCTCCAAAATCTGGAGCACCTGCTCCAGACGTAGATTTGACGAGGGAGCACCCTGAGCCAACGAGGGAGCACCTGCTCCAGCCACATGCCCCAGCAAACATTCCTGCAAGAGTTTACACGCCTAAGGTACCTTACCCAGTTCCACCAAAGAAGTCTCGCAAGGACTTAGAGGATGCAAAGTGCAGAGAGATGCTGAAGGATTTGACTGTAAAACTCCCTCTAGCTGATGCTGTTCAGATGATACCAGCCCTTAAAAGATACATGAAGGGGTTAGTGTCTGGGAAAGCTGTTGAGAAAGAGAGTGTCATGATGGTTTCGAAGAAGTGCAGTGTTGTGCTTCAGAACAAAGTGCTGAAGAAGAGAAGTGATCCAGGAAGGTTTGTTCTCTCAGTCAAGATTGGGAATGTATTGTTTGCAAGGTCTCTCTGCGATCTGGGTTCAAGTGTGAATCTGATGCCTTACTCTGTAGCCAAGCGATTGGGTTACACCAGATTCAAACCGACGAAAATCTCGCTGGTATTCGCTGATAGATCAACCAAATTCCCTGTTGGTATACTTGAGGATCTGCATGTTCAGATAGGTGATACACTCATTCCAGCAGATTTTGT